ATATTAAGTTTTTTTTTTTATAAGAGGGAATGGATTTAAGGCACATGAGTTTAGGTTGGTAGGTTACTACAACATGACATATTATGTTCTATTCCAACCATGAGTAGATCCCTTTCCCACTTGTCTATCTAAAAAAGAAAAGAAAAGGAGTTATCAAGGTTTATATGGACCCTAGGTGCGGACTATAAACTCAAGAGATCAGAGATACTTCATATTTCCGAAGTCTAGCATAAAAATCTTATACATAAATGAAGTCAGTGTTTTAAAACCCGAGGATTTCTAATCTGGATTGCCGATTTGGATTGGAGTAGTTATGGGAGAATATGGATCCCATCCCAATTCCTCCTAAAATCCCTGCTTCCCCCTAAAAGGTCTTATATGTAATTTTTTTTCTTCTTTTTTAGGTTAATCTATTGTTTTTTTTGGTCCTCTATAAATCCCCAATCCATAATCCCTATTATAGTTTTGGTGCAGTTTGAATAGAGCCGAGGCTCTAAACAATCAAATTAGAGCCCAACTTCATATAGTGTCAAGAAATATGGTTTCAATACTGGAATGTCTTGTAATAGCCTTAAATTCTATTTTCATCTTTAGTTACAACATTGAAAGCTTAAAAAATAGTGTGGATTGAGTAGATCTATGAAAACTTGAATAATTGAACAATTGACGGTTCAAACTCCCTTACAAGATGCACTGTTTCCAAAACTTGAAACCCATTTTTTTCTCAAGTCCATGTATCTTGATATCGAGATGATCAATTTGACGATATTTGGGTATCAAAACAATCTCTTCTAGTGATATTTTTGATGTATGCTCTAATTTGATTGTTTGGAGCCTAGGCTCTATATAAACTTTTCCCTTTTAGTTTAGTTTTGTTTCATTTACTTTATAAGATTTTTTAAAGGGTGCAGGTGGCATACGACCTTCAAATTTTATCGTGGTATATAATTTTAATGTAAAATATTTTTAGGATTATCTCAAAATCTAATTTTATATCTAATTATAAATTTTAAATTTAAAAAATGGTTAAAATCAAGTAGATCTATAAACTATGAAAATCTTGAAAATGGACGGTGTAGATAATGTGTTGTAAAATGCACTATTTCTGAAACTTCAAATCTTTTTATTTTTCATGGTCATACATCTTGATGTCGAGATGATCAATCAAAGGGTTTTTCAACACTAAAACTACCTTTTTCGATGGATTTTCGAGGTGCATCCATAGTTCTACATTATAAGGTTGCATCCTTATGTAAACTTTTTCCTTTTTTAAAATCATTGATTTGGACTGAATCATACCCGATCCCGATTACTGATCAAATGATCCGATACAAATCTTTGGGGAACAATCCACCCAAGTCAATTCGGATTTTCAAAAACAATAAAATAAAAGAGGCACAATCTACCATCTGTTCATAAACAGACGGTAGAGATGAGCCAAATTCCATCTGTTCATCTCCACCTTCCGTCTTGAGGGTGGCAAAGGATGCCTATTCATACAATATCACAATCTCAACACCATGCACAAGATGCGTATGTTCATTTTTTTAAATCTAGGGTTTGGCCTTGGTCATTTCTTAGTAGCTAAGAGCGAACAGTGCACATGTTCTCTTTTCATTTTCTTTATTTCATCCACTTACTTAATTAATTCAAAGTTTTTCTTAATACTCCACCTAATAGTACGGCGGCAAAACTAATTATATTATTTTCAATACATATATTGTAAAGAAAATAACTTTGTGAGACCCTCCCTCACTTATGTATATGATTTTAAAGGATCGCTATTAAATTTGACACAAATTTTTAAAAAAGTCAAATCATATACTCATATGATAATTTTTTTAAAAATTTGTGTCAAATTTAATAATAACCATTTGAAGTCATACGCACTTAGGTGGTGTGAGAAGGTCTTATAAGATTATTACTCATAATATAAATCAAAATAGTGGATTCCTAGAAATGAGTGGTTAAACTTGTAATTATATCCCAGCATATAATTTAATAGTATATTTTCATCATCGGATTCGAGCCATCGCATATCCCAATCTAAGATGATGCCACGTCATATCAGGACACGTGTCTCCTTAATCCTTCGACAAAAAGACCAAATCAATGATTTAAGTGTTTACCACTCTGTGTTTTAAATTATTTCTCATATAAATATCGAATATATCCCTTTCATCTCATTCTCTGAACCAGAGGATCACCAGTATAGAGAGAGAAGAGATACCAAAATTCTTAAGAAACCTTAACCCTAAACCTGGATTCATGGCCATGGTTTCTACTATCTATTGTCAGTGCCTTGTCTTTGCCCTAGCTGTGGAGATTCTATTTCTAAGTGTTGGCCATTCTTTTCAGTTGTCTTCAAGGCTGATCCATCGGTTCTCTGAGGAAGCTAGGGCTCTTAGGGTTTCTAAATATGGGAGGGTTCCTGGTTCTCCATGGCCGAGCTCGAGGAGCATGGGGTACTATGAGCTTTTGGCGAGGAATGATTTTCGGAGGCAAAGGATGAAGCTTGGGGCGAAATATGACTCGCTGTATTTCTCAGAGGGTAGTGAGACCTATGGTTTTGGGAACAACTTTGGATGGTAAGGGTTTTTCCTGGAATGGAAAGTTTATATTTTTCTTATTTTCACATAAATTTTGCAGTGCATTTTCTCTACATTTCAAATTCTCCCTGTCTTATCTCTGTAATGATTTATCGGTGTTGTGGAAGTTGTGAGTTCTTAATGATAATTGTGAAGAGTCTCAGGTTTCTCTAAAGAGACTCAGTGCCCATTCATTGATATGAATATACAAGACTTGTCTTTTATTGACAAAGTACATATAATAGAAAGTAAATCACACATACCTAAACTATACCTAAAATACAAGACACAATATTCTACTCTTCCCATATTTATTGATTACAATATACACCTTCTATATTAACCGGATATACAATATATACTTTCCTTTTACACTCCCCCTCAAACTCAAGATGCTATGAAAGAAAGCAACTGGAGTTTGAACACCAAGTCGCAGAAAATATAGTTGGATCTTCAGGTGTATAATTTGATAAATAAGCACATAAAGTAGTGGGGAATCAACAAGCCTTGAACAGATGGCTTCAAGAACTCTTGGAAAAGATCAAACAGATCAGAGAGTCGAAATATGACTCGACATAGAGACAGATTAGAGAGTCGAAACACGACTCGGCATATAGACAGATCAGAGAATCGAAACACGACTCTCCTGAGAGACAGATTAGAGAGTCAAAACACGGCTCGGCAGAGAGGACTAATCATAGTCGAAACACGACTCAACAGAGAGGACAGATCAGAGAGTCGAAACACGATTTAGCAGAGAGTCGAAACACGAATTGATAGAAGTTGCACCCAGTCGGGTGAGTAACATACTCCTCTTGAAAATTGGCGACAATGCTTCAAGGACGAGAAATGGACACAACTAAGATGAATTTGACTCTAATACCATGTGGTGAGTCTTAGGTTTCTCTAAAGAGACTCAGTGTCCATTTATTGAAAATATATAAACTTGTCTTTTATAGACAAATTACATATGACACTAATAGAAACTAAATCATAGACACCTAAATTATACCCAGACTTACCATAAAACACAGGACACAATATCCTACCCTTCCTATATTTACTGATTACAATATACACCTTCTATATTAACCGGATATACAATATATACTTTCCTTTCACTTTCTTAATGGCAATATTGGCAATTTGGGCTTTCACTTTCTTTTCATCTCTAGTTCATGAAGTTTTGAGCTGACATCCGTGTTGAATGAACTAAGGGGGCTCATAAATGCCATATTGGTTTACTCTTTGTTTACTTTGAATGCTTTGTTATAATAATAAAATGTATCTTTGTTGCATTTTTACCTCTCTCTCTATATATTGAGCTTGGACACTTGGGACTGGCAATGGTTTGAAGGATTTGGTAAAGTGGAAAGTTTAGTTTGTTGAATTGGAATTCCATTCTCATCTCTCGCCCTCTCTCTTGGATCTTGATGCATGGGCAATTTCAAATTGATGGGTTGGAATGACACTTACATCTGAAAGATGCTGAGGTCTATCCGATAATCTGTCATGCTTTCAACTTTGCAACCCCTGATATTTACTTATTTTTGGAGGTTGGGGGTTGTGGAACTGTTGTTTGATGCAATCACTCAACATTAAAGTATGGAAATTAAGAGAGATATAATTTTTCAGTTCATTTCGTTTCAGTTTTTTGGTAAGTGAGGTAAGCTTATCGTGATCTAATTTTCTCATGGATTTTGGATTTTCCAATAAATTTTCAGCTGACTGAAATGATCCTAAAGCTATCTGATCCAGTATATACGGAAAATAATGATGACCGCATGGTACCAAATCAAACAATAATTGAAAGGAAACTCTTAGGAAGTACCCATCTTTTAAATATGGTTTAGATGCTCTGGTATGAAGCAACAAATTTGTTTTCAGTTATAGAAATGTTTATTAGGAGACTGGTAATTATATGATGTTATTGCCAAACACTCTTGAAAAGATTTATATGCCAAAGTAAACTTAAATGGAGATGTTATATTTATATTTTGGCCTTTTTTGTTTATTATCATAGAACATGATTGCTCCTACGTGTGTTGCTCAGTTTAATGGTTTTATCTTGTGCCTTTTATTTGATATTACTATTTGGATGCTGTTATATGTTTAACTTTTCCCTTGAAAGAAAAACTTATTTCTTTGTCACCCATGAGACTTGACCATAGAAGGTGGACATCACTATAGGTATGATAAAGTATATGCAGTAAGTAGTGCATCCCATTGTATTATTTTCCCCAACTTTTGGTGAGTCATATGGTTTCTCTCATCGTTACAGGTTGCACTACGCATGGGTTGATATAGGGACACCGAATGTTTCTTTTCTTGTCGCGCTGGATACTGGGAGTGATCAATTTTGGGTTCCGTGTGATTGCATACAATGTGCACAGTTATCAGCCCGTGACTATGGGCTGGTACGTAAAATGCCATGATCTTGCTATTTAACTCTCTATTCATCACCATACTTTGAATTATTTGAAATTATTATATTTGTTCTCTGCATCTAATAAACTGGAGTTATGTGCAGTAGAATGTTTATAGGCTTGCATTTGTCCTGTTTGATATGTTTGTCATTTGTTTCTTGCTCTTTCCTTTGGTCCATTGGATGCAGCATCTAGGCTTTTGATTGTTCTTGGTGTATCTTGAGGAAGATTAACAATCCATAGGAGTTACTCATATTATTATTCAACATTTTATGGAATTGATACCAATGTCCAGCAGTTTCCTTTTAATTTTTTGTACTTGTAGCTTCCGCGATGTGGATAGCCCAATCCCTCTATCAATTTAAGGTTAACTTTCTCAAAAAAAAAAAAAAAAAAAACTTGGGTAAGGGTGATGACTCTGGATATTGGCCTTGAAATGGCAGAAAATCCTTGTGGTTGGGTTGGCGACACCCTTTATGGATTGATGACTTCCTTATATATATGGAAGTGGAACTGCTTGCTTGATAACTAAAGTTGTTATGTTAAGTCTTTCATCGGTGCTAGACTTTGTTGCAGATGTTTCTATTGTAAAATAATTTAGTTTTTTGGGTCTCTCTTGATTGAAGATTGCATGAATGTTTGGGTTGCATAGGATTCCCATGATGTATGACTGGAATCGAAACCCAAGCAAGCACCACTTGAGGTTAGTGTACAATTTTGAAGAGGTTTTCCACATATGCTTAGGATTAAAGGTGAGCATCAAACACATCTGATGACCAATGAACTAGGTGATTCATTGGCGAGAGAGCGAACTTCTCGATCGGATCTAGTTGTTACAATGATCGAGCTTTATGAGACTATGAGATCTTTTTTTTTTTTGGTTTTATTCTTTAAATTTAAACTCATAGCACTATGTACATTTTTTCATGTGGTAAAGATGACAACCAAAAAAAGAAGGCTTTCTTGAGGGAAAAAAACGTGTTAGATGTTTTTTTAAAGATATTACCTTCTTAAATTGTCGGTTTGACTATGGCACTCCCACCTTCACATGGGGTGACCAAATGGCCTCTCTTTCTATTTGAGAAAGGCACATGGGGATTTTCACCGGGTTTTCAGTCGAGGTAAGTTCTAAAACTCTAAAACATCCCCCCTCCCCCCTCTTTCTCCCTCTTTGCCCTTCCTCTCCTCTCTCGCTTCTCCCTTTATGTGAGATAATGGAGGAGTTCACATCACTCCCTCAAATTACAAGGGCAACATATGTTCCCTCTAACACCCCTCAATGCGAGATAATGCAGGTCTGCATACATCTCCCTCAAATTACTAAGATGATATCTGCTCCTTCCTAGATCGAAGCCCAAAGACCACATGAACATGCAAAAACCAGTAATACTTCACTATACAACTTCACTGGAACTTGTAACCTCCAATAATTCTCTAATGGAAACCTATCGCCAAGCAACTTCAAAACCCACAACCAGGTTAACGACCCAAACACCGTCCTTTGGCACTAGCAAAGAGATCATATGCAACAACAAAGATGTCACAAATTATTTACTTTTTCTTACTCTGCTGGTTTTCATGCTGATTCTTTTGTTGAAGGGGAGATTGAAGCAGGCGTTCTCTGTCTAATTGAAGACTTTCAACAAGTCAACTACATAGTTGAAAACCACATTTTTAGGCAATGGGAGAGAATGCCTCTGCTTGGTTTGATCGGGCCTGGGTCGGGTTGACCCCCTCTTGAACAACTGCGTGACTTTGCGCGTTGCTTGCGCGGCTCGTGCACCACTTTTGCGGATAGGTATGTCCAACTATGAAAGGATTTTTAAAATGTGGTGAAGAGATGGACTGAAGCACCTACCTCGCCGCCGTTTGAGTTCGTGGGATAAGCCAGGCTAATACCCTCTTAGATCAACATGTGAAAGCCCTTCGGCGGTCCAACAGCTCGGTTTGGACACGACCCCCTCTCGAAAACTCAACACCTCTGTCACGACCCGGCCCCTTGACCCCTACCGTACCTTACCGGAGGGTGACAAAGGTACGGTAGGGGTCAGGGGGGGGTGGGTCGTGACAACCTCACCTCGGAATCTCACTCAAGAAATTGTTGATAGAGTTCGTATAAAATGTGCTCCTCTTTGATGTACCTTTTAATGGGTGAGTGGCTCTAGCTTGTTGGTCGAATGGTTTGAAGGAGAGAGAGAGAATGGAGAGAGAAAATGAGAGAAAAGGAAGTCCCTCACGACCCTAGTACTATGTGACCTGGTGGTTAGAGTAGCGAGAGAATAAAAAATTCTAAAAAAACTGGCTCAAGATGACCCCAACCCGAGTATCTGAGTATAAGAGGATCAATGCCTCTTATGACCCGAGTTTACTGTACGAGAAGGTGGTTAGTGCAGCAACTCCAGAATTAGGATCCTAAGACACTATCTCAGGATGACCCCAAGTTGAGTGTTAAGGCAATGAGAGAAGCAACCGACAAAGAAAGCAAGATAAAAAAAAAATGATGAAATAAAAAAAGAAATGGGCTAAACGAATGACTATAAGAGTATGGTTTAGAAAAAGAGAAGATGAAAAGTGTAGGTGCAAATGTAAGGGCTAAGGAGTGGTCAGAGGTAATGAGAAGTTCAGGGCGGATGGAAGTTAATGTATGTGCTAGGGATGTGTGAGGGATTAGTTTGGATAAGGGCGCAGACGTGGGCTAGGATGAGCAAGTCGTGGGTAGGAGCTGAGACGTGCTAGAGGCGGGCACAAATTGATGTGCGTGAGAGTGGGAGCAAGTGAATGATAAGTGTGGGCAGGAGTGTAGGGGCGTGAAAGCATTAAGGGTGTGGGGGAGGTGCGCTGAGTGATGGTGCGGATGGCAAGTGTTGGATGATAGCGCAGGCAGGGGTGTAGGTATGAGAGTGCGGGCAGAGATGAGTTAATAGGGCACGGGCAGGTGTGCAAGTGGATAGGCGCTGGTAGGTGTGCAAGTGGATAGGCGCGAGCAGGGAGGTGTGCAAGTGGATAGGCGCAGGTAGGTGTTCAAATGGATAGGCACGAGTAGGTGTGCAAATGGATAGGCGCGGGTAGGTGTGCAAATGGATAGGCGCAAGTAGATGTGCAAGTGGATAGGCGCGGGTAGATATGAAAGTGGATAGGCGCGGGTAGATATGCAAGTGGATAGGCGCAGGTAGATGTGCAAGTGGATAGGCGTGGGTAGGGAGGCGTGCAAGTGGATAGGCGCAGGTAGGTGTTCAAATGGATAGGCACGGGTAGATGTGCAAGTGGATAGGCGCGGGTAGATATGCAACGTGCGGGTAGATATGCAAGTGGATAGGCGCCGGTAGATGTGCAAGTGGATAGGCGTGGGTAGGGAGGATTACGGATTGAGGCACGGGTGAGAGGGAGTGAAATGGATAGGGGTGGGTGGAAGATTGTGGAGTTAGGCGCGGGTGAGAGGGAGTGAAGACGTAGAGGAGTGATGAGCGTTGGCGTAAGAGGGAGTTAGAAATAAGAGGGTGGAGAAAGAAGAAGACTGGGAGCATTCTGGAAAGGAAGCCGGGCCCACCTCAAGCGCGTGTCCGTAGCTTCGGACGAAAAATAGTGAGGGAAGGAGAAGAGAAGGGAGGCACTCGGGCCCGCCCCAAGCTCAAGCAGGGAAGAGGGAATAAGAGAAGGGAAAGAAGAGAGAGAAAGAAGAGTGAAAATGAAGTAAGAGGAGAGAGAAAGAAGGGAGGTAGAGGAGAGAGAAAGAAGGGAGGTAGAGGAGAGAGAGTAGGCCTAGGATGGGCTTAAGCCTAGGTGCGCCTCCATGGGCCCTCTTTGCATGCACATTAGAGAGAGGTTTGGGCTTGGTGGGTTAAGGTTAGGGTTTAGGTGTGGTCCATGGAACCCTAAGGTGTATGGTGCACAATGAGGTGTAGGGAATGAGCTTTGGTGTATGGTGGTCTAAGGTTAATGGTGTAGGGTAAGGTGTAGGGAGTAGGCTATGGTGGTCTAGGGGTATTTTCTCTCTCTACGAAATGTTTCTCTCTTCTCCTTTTGGTCTCGAATTTGAACGCAAAGCACAAGCACAAGCAAGAACCTGATTACAAATGACTTAAACTTCCAAGAATCATCAATAGACCTTATTACAAGTGACCGGGGTTTCCTTATATAGAGCAACCACTAAACAAGGGTGGAATGCTCAAAAGTACCCCAAATTATCCAAAAATACACATTTAATGAATTAAAATATTAATCCCGTATTTAGAGCTAATGACCAAAATACCCCTAAGAACTTTTCGACAAATGACAAAACCATCCCTCCATGAGGGGCTTCTTGCCATTGCTAGTCTTCGGGAGCTTTTTGAACATCTATGATGGTAATTTGGGCAATTAATCATCGTAGAATTGATGCTTGAACTTTTGCGAACGGTTTAATACCTTTTGAACGTCTTGAAACGGATTTTTTAGGAAGAACCCAAAATCCGGCCAAGTCCATAAATTTTGCAAAACTTCAACCATCAATGTGGTATGATTTATGACGTTCCAAGCCTTCATTTTTATCACAAATCAAAGAGGACATTGTCATAATCATTCTGCAATAAATTGTCCGTTTTGGTCCCCATTTGAGCGTATTCTGGATTTGGGAAGTCGCCGAAAATGGGATTCTAGCAAACAGAAAAGTATGCCATTTTCAACCTCAAAATTCGCGTCCTCTGATTGTTCATAAAAGTTATACCAAATTGTAGTTCTCTGCAACATGGTCGCAATGGACCCATATTTGCGATGATCTGACATTGGAATCTTGAGTATGGGATATCTTGTAAACAATATGAATTCTCATGTTTCTGAGCCCATCTTCTCTCTAGAAATTCTGTCGTTTCGGGCCACGCCATGACGCGTGCCATATGTCAAAACGATCGGGTTGTCGAGATCTAGCTTGTGTCCAAATTTAAGCTTGATTGGACTCAAAACGAGCGAGTTATCAACATTTGAAAATCATCATGAAATGAGAAAACACAGTTTCT